GTATTTATTTCATGGAGTGTGAGGGAAGTCATCTGCCCTCATGTGTTCTGTCGATAAATAATTATAGAGCCCGTGCTACGCTGAGTGAGCCTGTGAACCTGGTTGTTCAGGATGGGAAGTGGTATCATAGATGGTATCATGAAGAAGTTGACCCATCATGCCAGTGCTGTGTGGACAGAGTCCAGTCACACAATACAGTCTTGGATCCTTGTGCCTCAAGTTTTAATTTCGAATTAAGCATTAATGAGCTGAAGAAACCTATGGGTTTGTGTCCTGTTTACAGAAGCGTCAGAAATCACCATGGCTTGGGGGAAGCGTTCTCCCAGACTTCACCCTACTCTTGACATAGAGCTGCTCTTCCAGCCTTCGTTCTGTGTCAGGGTTTTCTGTGTTCGTAGCAGCAGCAGTGTTAATACTTTGAGCAGAGTGGACTACTCTAGGGAATAGGAAAGCCTCTTGGGAGGAGGTTTTATTTTCAGTCCTTGAGTCAGTAATTTTTTACAAAGATGGCCCCATTATACCGTCCAGACAGATAATCTCTGGTTTGTTGCTTATCCTTTTAGATTTTGTTACCTGGAACTAGCCACTCAGCCGTCAGCCTCCTCACCCCTCGCAGACATGCCTGCACGCACACAGGTTTTTCCACACCGATCTTACTCCACGCTAGCCAACTTGAGTTTGCATTTCCTCAGCAGTATCTTGCACCATTCTGTTTCTCTTTGTAACGAGTTGATCTGAAAATTGCTTTCTCCATCTCCTTTGTAAGATTGTTTGATTTTTTTACGCTGGGTCCTCAGTAGTAGTTGTTTGTTGCTGACTGACCGTGCTCCCTGAGCCCACATCTTGAATCACCCAATGAGTGAGAGAATATGTGGTACGATGTGTGGCAGTGCACCTTCTCTTTCGCTTGTTCTCTTTCTTCTGCTGGCTGTCATTGACCCACAGATGCTCTTACCGTTCTGTCTTGCTTTCCTCCTTCATTTGAAACAAGGAGAACTAGTGGGGTGTTTTTTCTGCTTGTCCCCTTGAACACATGGCAGGTTACACCAAGGACCCGTTAGTACCACTTCCCATTTTAGCCTCCTCATGAAAACATGTTCACAAAAGAATATTGACACAGAGTTTCAGTAGAGATTGTGTCCATGAGGGAACCCAAGGTGACTTAACCATCATGTAGTTTGAGAAGTCCTCAAACTATTGGAAGGCAAATAGGGCAGCAGGATTCCGGACCTGTCAGACATCCCAAGGGAGGCGAATGGTGGTGAGCCTGTTTGGTAATGACGTCTGGAGTATCGTCAGGACAAGTTTGTAAGCTGTACGTCTAAATGTGGAGGTGGACACAATGGATATACCTATTACTTGGTTGGGTTTTTAGTTGCTTTTAAACCACGCACTGGTTTTCTAACTCTACTCCATGTCTCTTGTTTGTTTACAGCCATAGGTATTAAAATACCTGACTGACTTGTGGGAATATTGTGCTCATTCACTTTAATTTTTTTTTAATGTTTATTTATTTTTAAGAGAGAGAGAGAGAGAGAGAGACAGAGTGTGAATAGGGGAGGGCCAGAGAGAGAGGGAGACACAGAATCTGAAGCAGGCTCCAGGCTCTGAGCTGTCAGCACAGAGCCTGACACGGGGCTTGAACTCACAAACTGTGAGATCATGACCTGAGCCGAAGTTGGACGCTCAACCGACTGAGCCACCCAGGCGTCCTCATTCACTTGAATATAGATCAAGATGCTTAAATATACTGTCTAGCACAAAGACAGTTTCCTTAAAAAATATAGATTTACATCAGAATTAGTGATAAGAATTAGAAATTGTTAAATGTATTTAGCCTCCTACTAAATTTAGAAATTCTGTTCTTTCATCTAATATTGCCCTCTGTGGCTACCTGCTTACCTCTCCTGCAAAACGATTTCAGACTTTTTTTTTTATTTAAGGGAGATCTCTTTTGGGGCCAGGGGGGATCATTTAACAAGTCAATAGTATTATCGCCATTACTTCATTTGTTTTTACTATTTGATTGAAATACAACTTGTAGTCTTGTATATTAGTCAAGATCACTATCTTTTCTTTCCATATTTCTAAGTTATGTATTCTATGTGATATGAACTAAAACTTAATGTTTAAATTTGAATCTGTTAAATTGCTATGAAATGTGATGCTTATATTTACAGTAGAGGAAAATTGAGGTAGAAATGTTTTTATTTACTAATATTCTAGTAGAAATCCATAAGACCTAGAACTCCAATTTTTTTCATACAGAAAATTGTTCGTTTTGACTCTTCTTTTAATAAATTGTCAAGTAGAATACTTAACTGTTGATTTTGTGTGCAACATCCTATTTATAGTTTACAAGAAATGCTGTGAACAATTCTGATTTGTTCCACTAGAGGGCCCTCTTAGAGAGGTTTTTCCTTGTGAAATGTCCTTGGCCGTGGTTCATGACCATTGGACTTTCTCAAAAAGAATTTCAGAGAAAAGCTAATGCTTATTCTTTCAGAATATATACCCACAGAGTAGTTCTTTCTGAGATGTTGGTGAGCCATAGTTGGTAAATTTGCCTTTTTCTCTCCCTAGGTCTTACACAGATGAAGTTTGTTGCCTATTAACTGTTAAAGGGTAGACTCTAAGCAAAATTATTAATAAAGCCTTCTTCACTAGTCTGACTTGACATTATCTTACATAATTGTATGCTCTCTTTCTTGCTGCCCCTTACCCCCACAAAAAAAGCTCACCATGAATTCTGGTTTGGAGTGGGGGAAAAACAGGTGCTATATGTAGAGGTATGTCAAAAGCATGTATGTCCAGAAAGAACATTATTCTTTGGGAAAGATTTAATTAGGCAACTGTTGAGTGAGGTTTTGTCTTCTGAAGCCCAGAGTCCTCGATGTTCGACTCCTGTATTTCTTTGCTGTACTGTTGCGATCCTTTGTCAAGGCCCAGAGGAATACAAAGGAGTGGAAGACTCGAGGAGTGTTTGGTTTCCACCTGGCCCTTGTTTATACTGCTTCAGTGTGATCTGCCCTGAGAGCAAAGCAAGGGTGATAGGGAGTCTTTAACATTCTCTTTCTTTTCTCTCAGATACAGAGACCATAGTACCATTGATTCGTGTCAGGCTGGCTTTGTATTTTGAGTTCTGTTCAGTATGTACTCCTGAATTTATCTGCTATCCAACTTATATGCACAAAAATCACCTGAGTACCTTGTTAATAATACAAATGTCCAGGCCTCTGCCCTAGAGATCTTAATCAGGAGATCCGTCTCGTGGCTGGGCATCAATACTGTTTTAACAGTCTTCACCATCCCCCTCCCTCACCCCTCTAGTTTTTTTGTGTGGGCAGACCAAAGTTTGAGGTTTAGTGGAAAGAGCGAACTAGACCGGTTTTCTTAGGAACCTGTTTGCTTGCTATAACCTTGAGCAAGTTTCTTAGTATCTCTGAGCCACATGTAAAAAAGATAATGCATTTCTCTAAGACTGTAAGGATGATTGGATCAATTAACACACAGGATAGTGGTTATAACCAACTTGGCCCACAGAAGGCATTCCACTCCACCCTCCTCGTTACCCAGAAACTTAACATTTGGCTCTTGCCTACCTTACCACTCTGATATTTACAACCTTACCTCCTCTCCAGCTATGGTAGTTTTGTCATTCCCTAAATAAGCCTCTAAGGAGGCTTTCCTTCCATCATTTGTAATCAGCTGTCCTAGGAATGCTTTCTGCTGCTTCCTCTTTAGTCATTTCTTACTTGTCCTTGAAGACCATTCACCTGTCATAGCTTCTGTGACCACTCTGCCCTTCCTGCATTCTCCCCTCCCTCCCCCCTCTCACATGCTGGCTTTGCTTTCCCCTGAGAGGCATGGTGCCATAATGAAAGGAGCAGGAGTTCTAGAAGCAGGCAAGGATGTGAATCCTGACAGCCTGCAACTAAATGTGTGAGGTTGGCCAAGATGCTTTAATTCTCTTTTTAATGTGCAAAATGGGAAATAATATCATTGTACGGTATTGTGAGGAGGGAATCCTATGTGAAGCGCACAGCACATAAGCTTTCAATAAATAGTAGCTGTTTCTTTTATGATAATAATTTTGTGTAGCTTTCTCCTTATTCACCTCTCTCTGTTCAGTGCATAATAAAATACTGACATTTATATAATGGATTCCCCGTAATTATCTGGTGAAGGAATGAATGGGTCCATGAATAAATGATAAGTACATGAAAGGCACTTGGAAGACTACCAAACACTATTGAAAGGTTCTCTTTACATTTGAGTACTGAGTTTTCAGATAGGAAACCTATGTACTGTGTATTTCAAATTTTATTCGAGCATGATTATATATAGCTAAGTTAAACTGTTTCAGGAGAAAGCGAATTTAAATTTCAGAGGTCTTAAGGACTAGAGAAATGTCACATTATGTGCTGATAAATTTTAAAGTTTAAGTTCAAATTTACTCTCTAACAAAAGCTGTCAGGATTTTTGAGGTATGGTTTTTAGATGATTTATCAGTTGAAATTCCCTAATTTATTTCATATGAGGCATACCTCATTTTATTTCTTTACGTGCTACAATTCTTCAGATATTGCATAATATTTCATTATTATATTTGTTATGGTGACCTGTGGTAAGCAAGAGGCTTTGCTACTAGCTCACGTGGTAGTTACCATTTTTTTGGCAATAGAATTATTTTTTAAATAAGGTATGTACATTGTTTTTTTAGATAATGCTGTTGAACACTTACTAGACTACAGTATAGTAAATAACTTTTATATATATGACATGTTTATATGTGTATATATATAATATATATATATATGTTTGGTTATATAGGAAACCAAAAAATTCATTTGCCTTGCTTTATTGTGATAGTCACTTGATTGAGGTGGTCTGGAACTGAATCCACAGTGCCTCCCAGATACATGTATAATGTGGTCATTTCATAAAGTCATCCTCTAACAGTAACCTACAAATTGTCAAAAATGTTTCCTTACATTTAGCAACATTTCATTGAGCTGGATGAAAGCAGACAGAGATTACTGCAGAAATGCAAGGAGCTGATGAAGAGAGCTAGGCAAGTATGTAACCTGGGCGCAGAGCAGACGGTTCCTCAAGAATACCAGACAGTAAGTATAAAAAGTATATACGGCTACAAGTTATATACTCAACACGTTATTTTTAAGCTCAAAGTGTGTAGTCATTGTAATGTGCCATAAGAAACATAATGTGCTGAAAGAAATAATGGGATTTTCCCATTTTTAAGCTGAATGTGTATGTCATCAAGCTTAATGGATTTTCTTTACTGTCTTCAAACTTGGGCACCAGTTGTCGGTTGTTGCTGTCTCCTTGCCCAATTACCACTACCAGAACATTCATTCTTGCGACAAAAGGCTTTTTTCCCCCAACCTACCTGTAAGAGGTGGGGGCAGGAGGTGGGGTGTAATTTTTTATGGACACATACCATTGGTAATTAGTTTATAAGAAACAGTAAATAGAGGATGTTTAGAAAAAGGCAAAGTGAACATATTTTTCTGGAAATGAGGGTGCTTATTTATGGTTTGATCTTTAGGGCTAACATCTGTTGGTAAGAAAAGGAGAAAAGAGCCTTTCCTCCTTGTATTTTATGTGCTAACATACTGTTCAGTTCAGTTAATAAATGAGACGCTGCCCGTAGTTCACGTTCTACCATGACTTGGGGCCCCGTGACCCTAAGCTTTATCTGGCAAGTAGGGATCACACCTTGTCCAACATACCTACTTCTTGCAGAGTAATGTCTAAATAAAATAGAAAACTACTTTTAAAATATTTAGATAAAATACTTTATCTTAATTTCAGTAGGTAGTGAAATATGTATTTCCCTATTTAAATAATTAATGTCTAATCTCTATTTTAATAACTAATGAATGTCTACTAAAGATATAAATAGAACTGGAAAAAAACTCATTTAGATTAGAATTTTCAAATCCTCAAAGATTTTACTCTACTGTATCAGACACAGACACCACAGAGAACGGATTAGGGTACATAATGGGGATTTAGTAGCTCTGAGACAAATTGTGTGGTTGTTGTTTCTATAAAAATATACTAGAACTTTTCCTAAGTACGTTTAGTTACAAAAGAAGTAAATATTAGTCCAATGTCTGTAGTTTCTTTCAGAGTAGCAGTACAGTTCTACCCTTGATAAGTTGTACTGTTTTCGAAAGAAACAAAATTAGAAGATAATTCGTATATTAAAAATGTTACTGATCTATCAGGCCTTGAACAAGACAGATACTTCTCTACTGAAATTTACATCCGAGGGTGGAGGGTGGGGCAGACAAACGAATTAAAAAGCAAATAGATAATGTCGGCTATCGAGAGGTGCTGAGAAGAAAAATAAAACAAGGTAAGAGGATAGAGTGTCAGAGAAGGTTCCTTTGAGAAGATAACTATTTTAGATGATTCCTGAATGCAGAGAAGAAATTAGTCAAGTGAGTGTTTGGGGAGAAAAGTGTTCCAGGCAGAGGAAATTGCTCCTCATGAAGCCCCGAGGCAGAAGTGTATGCGTCATGTGTCAGTATGGAAGGAATCTCAGTCGGTTGAAACTTGGTAATCCAGGCATAAACGAAGGCACAAGTCACACCATGTCGGGTCTTACAGCCCACAGAAGGAGTTTGGGTTGTATTTTGAGATGGCACCCACTGGAAGATTATGAAGAGGGATGTGGCTGACGGGCATGTAGGAAAGCACTGTAACTGCCAGCCAGGTGAAGAATCAAGTAGGGACACAGAACTAGTGCAGTGAGACCGTTCAGAAGATTATTGCTTTGGACCAGGCCAGAAATAATAGCAGCAGGGATCGGGGTAGGAGGCTGGAGAAGAGGGAAGCGTGCCAATCTGCGGATCTGTTACTGACAGTAGCAGGACTTGCTGATGGATTGGAGGTGGAGGGTGAGAGAGAAGACCAACCCCTACATTCTGCCATTGACTGAGATGACGAAGATTGAAGGAGAAATAGGTTTGTTCACATTGGTAGGGAGGGTGTGTGAAGTGAAGATTTCTGCGTGACCATCTAGGATTTAGGATGCCCGTTAGGGAGTCAGGTGAAGACACCCAGCACATTTAAGTCAAGCACAGGGTGAAAGCCCAGCGGACAAGTCACGTCGACAGCGGATACTTCCTATCTGAAGGGCTGTAGATGTTGAACTGCTTTCGGTTCAACAATATCTAAAAGACATAGGTATTAATGTATCATTTCAAGGTCTTTTTCGGAGTTTTAAGGTTCATTTTGTACGTCATTCCACGCGATCATTGCAGGTTGTGCTACAGCACAGTGTACCATTTTCCTCCCAGATAGGAAGGGGGCTGCCCGGACTTGTCTCTACCGCCTGGACTCCAAAGGTCGTACAGGTGACCCTCGAACAACAGGGTTTAAACTGTGAGGGTCCACTTACGTGTAAATTTTTTTTTCGTAAATAACAGTGCTATGTTTTTCTCATGTTTTTCTTAACATTTCCTTTTCTCCAGCCTCCTTTATTGTAAGAGTACAGTATATAAAACATGTATTATCCACAGTATGTGTTGATCCACTGTTGATGTTATCAGTAAGGATTCCAGTCAGCAGTAGGCTGTGGGTAGTTATGTTTAGGAGAGTCAAAAGTTATACGTATATTTTTGACTCACAGTGGGGGTCGGCCTCCCCAACCTTGTGTCGGTCGAGGGTCAGCTGTACTACGGTGAGATTCTGCCGTCAAAGTAACCGGATTCTTAAGATGCTTTTGTCGTTCTTCATAAGTACAGTATAAAGTTCTAACTTCTTGCTCTCTTTCAATGCCCCACATATTCTGGACCCATTCTACCAATTCAGCAAGTACCCACCATTCCAAATGGACACAACTCCTCACCCCCCATGGTATGCAGCACTCATTCTTTTTTCCAAGCTTCCTGTCTCCCCTCTGCCTTGCTTTTCCCTAGCTACTTGCTCTAAGGCCCAGAGATGAAGTTGAGGCCTCTTACCTTCTCTTAACTCTCTTGTAGCTCCTCTAGCATGAACTGATACTTCCCTTAGTCTGTATGATATGTACTGCTTACTGTAATACTCAACATTGATACTCCGCCTTAAGGTGTTACCCAGTGTTATTCAGTCAATATGTTTCGCATTTTTTAAAGTGTAAGCTATTTGAAGGCCTAAAGCCCTGTTTAGTTCCTTTGATTTCTTGTATGCTAGCATGCTGTTGAACACATAGTAGATACTCAGCAGAATATTTATTCAAATTGAACTGCCTTTGCTGTACTGTCTGCTAATAATAGACCATTCTTTTCTTCTTTAGGCTTTCCAGGATCTTCCAAACACGTTGGATGAAATTGATGCTTTATTAACTGAAGAAAGATCAAGAGCTTCTTGCTTCACAGGACTGAATCCCACAGTATGCTTCTTCCCCTTTGGCCTCCCTCAGGCACCGCCACTCTCCCCACACACCCCACACGCACGCGCGTGCACACACTTCGCTCCAGTGCCGGCCTCCCACTCTGTACTAGAGCTCTTGGTAATAATAAGCTAGACAGCAGGAACAATGTGCTTTAAATGCCAGATTCTGAATCTATTAGAATTTTAAATAGACTCTTCCTAAGGAACACACTGTTCTGTGCCTTTCCTTTATAAAAAGAATAGTGGGGCTAACCTGGAATACTGCAGCGTCTATTTTTTTTTGAGGATGAAAAACACTTTCAGTACAAGAACATAAATGAGTTGCATACAAACAGTGTGACACAATGGGCATTTTCACTTCACGTTTTAATTGATGCACAATTCCCTGTAATTTTATCCTTTGGTAGATTTGTCTTCAATATTCTTTTTCCCTGGCAGGTCGTTGAGGAATACACAAAAAGAGAAGAAGAAATAGAGCAATTAACTGAGGAACTAAAGATAAAGAAGGTTGAACTGGATAAATACAGGGAAAACATTTCACAGGTAGTTATTTAACCTTTATCTTTTCTTCTGTTGCGTGCTCACCATTTATCCCACGGGCACATAGAACGGCGCAAAGTGAAATTACATGGAACGAATAGTTACACATGTCCTCGTGGCTAGATTGATACTACATTTCTTAGGGACAGTTTTCTATCAATATAGTAATACTTCTTTTGTGTTTTTATATTGAATTTATTTGCAGGTAAAAGAAAGGTGGCTTAATCCTTTAAAAGAGCTCGTAGAAAAAATTAATGAAAAATTCAGCAATTTTTTTAGTTCCATGCAGTGTGCTGGTGAAGTTGATCTGCATACAGAAAATGAGGTAAAACTGCATTTCACGTGTTTCCTGGCGAGTAGTTTTATTTATGTGCTGAGAGTACGTGTGAATTGTTAATTCTAGAATGAGGCCTGTGACAGTTTTGCTTACTAAAAAATCGTTCAAAGGAAGGAAAATACCACTGCGGGAGTCCATCGCAGTCACTTGTGTTTGTGTGTGTGTGTGTGTGACATTTGAGATCAGTCGCTAGCATCTTACTGACTTTTTGTATCCGGGGAGGTAATGGTTATTTGGCTCTGCGTGAATTGATTTATAAATCCACCACTGTCCACATTACAACATTCCTAAGCAGATTGGCAAACTTGACTGAAATACAGTCTATTAGTGGTTTCCGTTTTTAGCAAGAGAGAGTACACAGGAATGAAAATATTTGCAAATTTGTTACTAGTTTCTTGAGTTGTAAGTTAAGGCATTGCAAGTATAGGTAAAATAATTTCCTTTCAGAAATACATCAAGTGATCAACTGGGATTTGCTTTAAAATAATTGAAAAAAGGAGTTGGGGGAATTATAGATGAGAAACAGGATGATTGTTTAATCCTCACAGTTATTTTGTAAAGCAGGTACTATACCTCAGTTTTCTTTTTTTTTTTTTTTTTTT